AACTTTCAGGTATCAGTCTTCTCTTTCCACTTTGTTGAGGCAGGGTTTCTCTTGTTTCTGCTGTACTGTAGACTCCAGACTAGCTAGTCTGCAAGCTTCCTGGTAGTTCTCCTGCCTCTGCCTCATCTCCCTGTAGCAGTGCTGGGCTTACAGATACATGGGTTTCAGAGATCAAACTAAGGTCATCAGGCTAGTGCCTTGTAGGATACTTATTAATATCCCAAATGTAGTTTTTGAGGTATTTAGCATTCGAAATAAATTTCATTTGTATGGAATAAATATGGATAAAGGCATTGTTCACATTTATTCATTTAATAGAATACAAGTGCTTTTCCCAGCCGAGCATGGTGGCGCACGCCTTTAATCCTAGTACTTAGGAGGCAGAGGCAGGCGAGGCCAGCCTGGTCTACATAGTGAGTTCCAGGACAGCTGAGGCTACAGGGAGACCCTGTCTCAAAAGGACATCCCTCCCTCCCCCAAAAAAAATGCTTTTACCCACTAAGCCATCTCATTGGCTCCTTGTCTTTTGAAAAAATGTCTCATGTAGCCTAGACTAGTTTCAAATTCATTAGGTAGCTGAGGCTGGCCTTGATCTCCTGGTCTTACTGCCTCCTTTAGTATGTACTATCAAGTCCAGCTGACCTGATTTTTTTTGTTTTTTTTTTTGAGACAGGGTCTCCCTGTAGCCCCAGCTGGGCTGGAACTCACTATGTAGACCAGTCTGGCCTTGAACTCACAGATATCTACTTGTCTCTGCCTCCCTAGTGCTGGGATTAAAGGCCCTTGCCGCCACACATAGCCCTTGACCTATTGTTGTTATTGTTATTATTTTATGTGTATGAGTATATTTCCTGCATGTGTGTTAAGTGTACCCAGTGTTGTGCAATGCCCTTGGAAGTCAGAAGAAGGTGTCAGATCTCCCGGAACTGGAGTTACGAACAGTTGTTGCCATGTGAATGCAGGAATCAAACCCAGCTCCTCGGCAAGAGTAGTCAGAGCTCTTAACCTCTGAGCCATCTCTCCAAGGCCCGACCCATTATTTTTTAAGGTGGGGTCTCACTATGTAGTCCAGGAGAACCTCTATAATCCCCTGTCTCAACCTCCTGAGTACTGGTATTATACAAACTTCTTTTAATACTTATTATACAAACTGTCTTTAAAATGTTATCATAAATACAATTCAACGGTTTATTATATTCTCCATTTTATTTATTTTGTGTTCATGTATGTAGTCTGTGTGAATGTGTATGCAAGTGGCATGTATGTGCATGCATATGGAGGCATGAGGCAAATACCAGGCGCCTTCCTCCATTGCTGATTACCTTATTCACTGAACCATGGTCTCTAAGTGAACCGAGGGCTGGAGAGATGGCTCAGTAGTTAAGAGTACTGGCTGCTCTTGCAAAGGACACAGGTTCAATTCCCAGCACCCACATGGTGGCTAACAACCACCCATAACTCTAGTTCTAGGGGAATTCAACTTCTTCTTCTGACCTTGAGCAGTGCACAATATAGGTACACCTATCCACAGGCAAGCAATACACTCATACACATAAAATAAAAATAATAAATAAAAATTAAAAAATAACTAAAGTGAACTGAGAACTTGCTGAGAGCTTGCTGGTTCAGGTAGTCTAGCTAGCCAGCTTTCCCTCCTAGGGCTGGAATTACAGGTGAGAGCAGCCATTATTCACATAGGTTCTGAGGACAAAAACTCTGGTCCTCTTGCTTCTTTGGCAAGCTCTTTGTCTACTGAGCCATCTCCCTGGCCCTGCTCTCAGTTTTATGAATGAAAAACTGAGGCCTATAGTGGTTTTCATAACACTAATAAAAGAATGAGAACCTGAATCCGAGTGGTCTAACTCAGTATCATATTTGCTTTGTAAAATTAAGTAACTACTTACATTTATTTTATTCATTTTGTTTGTTGAGACAAAGTCTCACTCCATAGTCCTGGCTGATTTCAAAACTGAGGCAACCCTCCTGCCTCGGCCTACCAAGTACTGGAATTATATGAGCCACCAACCCTGGGACATAAATTATTTTTATTGCCTTTTTAAGTTTATGTACAAGTATATATTATGTGTTGAACATATTCCTCCCCATACCTCCTACTCTCACCCATACCTCCTACTCTCTCCCTTACCTCCTACTCTCTCCCATACCTCCTACTCTCTCCCATACCTCCTACTCTCCCTTTTCTCACCTTCCCCACTCTCATTAGTTACCTCTGTCCCCCTAGACAGTTTTGCTTCTATTAAAGGAATAAATTTGGAAGGTACCTTTATCCATATTTGTTTCAGACAAATGAAACTTATTCACAAATGCTAACTATCTTAGAAATTATCTCTGGGATATCAATGCATATCCTACAAGACACAAGCAGCTTCAGACTATCTCATAGCAATATGGAAAGTATAAAAGGAGAAAAACAAATGCATTTTAAGATATCTGCAAAATCATCTAGGTCTACTTCATCCTTTGCCTTTGTTCTGGACACATCACTTACACCAGATTATATTGATAGTAACTCAATTTACTGCATCTCCATCACTATCCACCTTAGTCTAAAGACTTTATTTTGGGGAGACAAAGTCTCATATGTAACCCAGGCAGGACTCAAACTTCCTATACATTCTAGGCTGTCCAAAGTAGCTAGCTGATCTTTTTTTTAAGACATTAAGTCTCAGTTGAGGACTACATAACAAGAAACATCCAGACAGGAGAAACCTTCCTTTGAGTTGTTGGCCATGGTAGTCCAAGAGACTCCCAAAATTACATAGGCTATTATCACAGCCCTTGATAGCCTTCCAGAACTTGAAGGTAACACCCTATTGCTGAAGACAGGACATACTTTGAACATAGGATTTGAAGCAATGGAGCTGGGACTGACCTGGAAGCCACCTCCTGTGAAGCCTAGCTCTCATAGCTTTGGGGAGCGCTACACAAGCTGCTAAGGGATAACATCAATCGATGGTCCAATCCCAGCTTCAAGGCCTAAAAACCACAGCTTCAAGGCCTAAAAACCACATCAAAGACCATCACAGCAAACGACATTGGTGCATTAGTGGCATTTTTATCTTGGAGGTAATCAACAGGTACCTAAGTGGACTTAAAGCCCACTCAGTGGGAGAAAACTCAAGTGTGGTACTGTAAACTGTCCAAATACACATAGCTGGAGAGGTCAGAGATCTAGGAGAAAACTCCAAGTCTGTCACATCTCTAGACAAATATAATTTCTTACTATATGCAAAATATGGATATTTAACTTTATAGAGAAGTATCCCAGTCACTACCCATCAAAGAAGCTTCTTTTGCAAGAGACAGAGATAATTACAGAGTTCCACAAGTGGTTACACACACAGATTGTCTGTGAACTGCCCAAGTCTAAGTGTACATCTAGAATACAACCTCTACACCTAAGGCCCAAGGAACATAGAACAAGGGATGAAGAGAACACTAATGCATCTTTCAACTCTCATCAATGAAGCTCCCTCATGCAACAGAGGGCCAGGAACTCAAAAGGTCACAAATGGCTAAAATGCAGAGAATAAGAGTTTGCAGAGTGTGGGTCCCAGGATTTCTATAATAAAATCTACCCACCCAGGACTCGAGGACCTTTGTGGTAGAGGGGACAGAAAGATTGTAAGAGCTAGGGAGGAGATGCATGACCATATGGAAATAGTCCTTCAGGTGTCTGGGACCCTTCTCATACAAACCTACAGTAATTGTGTCAGCATGCACAAGACCCATGCAGTCTTAGGCAGACAAAAACCCAACCTAGAACCATGGAAATAAACAGCAGGCCCCAATCTTAGTCTCAGAGCTACTGGCAGCTGATTACTGCTGGGTGAGGAAGAGCTGATCTTCTTAAAAAAGGGACTCTAGATAGGCTGACTAAATCCCAGTAGATGAACTTGCACTGAAGGACATCTGGGGACACTAACTCTACATGATAGGCCCTAACACAAATGACAGAATATATGAACTCCAGTGGAGCGGGGAGCGGCTATAGGAGGGTGCCAAAGAAGAAAGGAGTATAAAGATGATTTTATTTATTAAATACACAAAAATTCAATTAAAAAAAAATTTTTTAAAAAGGACACCAAGTCTCCCTATAGCCCCAGCTGGAACTTACAGAGATTAGCTTACCTCTGCCTGACCCTGCCTCCCAAGTGCTAGGATTTAAGGCATGCATCACCACACCTGGCAAGAACTAACATTTAGTACAGTAGCTGCAGCACATTAAGCATACAATATTAACTGTTAACTCAAGAATGAATGAAGAGGCTGGGTATTATGATGTATGCCTGTAATCCCAGTACTCAGCAGGCAGAGGCAGATGGAACTCTATAAGCTCAGGGCCAGCTTGGTCTATATAGAGAGTTCCAGACCTGCAAGGGCAAAGAAAGAAAGAAAGAGAGAGAGAGAGAGAGAGAGAGAGAGAGAGAAAAGAAAAAAAGAATGCAGAAGCTAGGAGTGGTGACTCATGCTTATAATTCTAGCACTTAGAAAACTCTGTCAGAAGGATTGTCATGAGTTCCAGACCAGCCTGGAATACATAGTGAGTTCTAGGACAGCCTGGGCTTCATAGTGAGAAAATGTCTCAAACAAACAACCAAAAAGAATGCAGAAAAATGGGTATGATAACACAGGTAGTACATACTTGTAATCCCAGTACTCAGGAGGCTGAGGCAGGAGGATTGCTAGTTAAAGCCATCCTGGGCTAAATAACAAGGTCAGCAACAGTCTGGACTATATAGTGAGATCCTGTTTAAAAACAAAACAAAACTCAGGTTAGTGCAATGAATCAGTAAGGGAACTTGCCACCAAGCCTGACAACCTGAGTTGGATCCCTGTGATCTACATAGTGGAAGGAAAGAATCAATTGCCACAAGTTGTTCTCTGACTTCCATATATGTACCATCCATATACATGCACACACATAGACACTTACAAAAAATAAATTAAAAAGGAAAAATATTATCAGAACACTGTACCTTGGTACCTTCTTGATCTTCCAGAGAAAATTCCATCAGTTCATCTGAAATCTCTTCTTGATCTTCTAGCTTTAGATTTTTAACCAGTTTTGGAACTGTAGTAATGGGACTGCCCAGATATTTCATTTCATTTTCCACCAAATTTCTATTGTCCTGTCAATTAAATTGACAGGATTAAAACCTTTTTAGGGCTGAATGTGGAAGCACATGCCTATAATCCCAGTGCTCAAGAGGCTGAGACAAAAGGATTGTGTGTCTGAGGCAAGCCTGAACTATATATTCAAATCCTGTCTCAATAAAAGAAACAAAATTAAATTTTCAAAAAGGAAAAAAAAATAACTTATTTAGGATACTTCTTTTAAATCACATACAAAAATTGACTGAATGAAAATATACTAAAAATCTAAATGTAAGAATTAAAACTGCAGAACTCTTAGGAAAGCTAGGTGTAGTGGCACAAACCTGTAACAGCAGGACTGCAGACTCAGACAGGGCAGCTTGAGTGAAGGAGTTCAAGGCTATCCTAAACACAATGAAGCCTCACTTAAAAGGAAAAAGAAAAGCTGGCTGTGGTGGCCCAAGCCTTTAATCTCAGCACTCGGGAGGTAGAAGCAGGCAGATCTCTCTGAGTTCAAGGCTAGCCTGGTCTATATAGTGAGTTCCAGGCCAGCTGGGACTATAGGGAGACCTTGTCTCAAAAAGACCAAAAATTAAAAAAAAAGAAGTAGGTAGGCATAGTGGCACACACTTGTTATTCTAGCACTCAGGGGGTTGAGGCAGGAGGGCTACTATAGATTTGAGGACAGCGTGGACTATATAGTGAATTCCATGCTAGCCTGAGCTATGGAGACCTTGTTTCAAAAACCTAAAAAGGACAAGAAAAAAAAAAAAAAAAAAAAAAAAAGGCAGAAGGAACCAAAGGCCTAAGAAAAAAAATTATCTGCCTATAATTTAAACAAATAAAAAACAGAGGACTTATAGCTCCTCTTCTTCCCTGCTCAAAAGGTCTAACCCTTTCCCACCTAAACCAGCCGAGAAGTCAAAGGACTATTCTACAGCTCATGGTACCTACTCAACGACTCACCAGCACTGAAAGGGGAGACACAAGAGGATCTCCTGGTCTGCTTTGAAACCTCAGGGTCCCAGGTACCTGCCACTCCAGAGTAGTATTAACCTGCAGAAGAAAAACTGCATTGGCTAGAGGAACAAAAATCAATGAGTGTGCCCAAAACACTGCATCTGAACAAGGTATGAAGAACTCTCACGAAACACATTAAATGTAATCATTAAATGTATATCCTGAAAATATCAATAATGGTTTGGATTTGATGTATGACAGATTTGCTTTGGAGGTCACAAATTTTATGATCACAAACAAACGGAAAGAAATGAAAAAAAGCCTGTTTGGAAAGAGACTGTGAAATATTAGAAAATGATTACAGGGGCTGGAGAGATGGCTCAGTGGTTAAGATCACCGGCTACTCTCCTAGAGGACCCAGGTTCAGTTCCTAGCACCCATATGGTGGCTAATAACCCACCTTAACTCCAGTTCCAGAGGATCTGACACCCTCTTATGGCCTCCATAGGCATTGCATGACACAGTTACACTTAGATGCAGGCAAAACACTCATACACATAAAATAAAAATAAATTTTTGAAAATGTAAAGAAAGTGCTGGGCCTAGCATGGTGGTGCACATCTTTAATCCCAGCACTCAGGAGACAGAGACAGGTGGATCTCCATGAGTTCGAGGCCAGCCTGGTCTACATAGTGAGTTCCAGGTCAGCTGGGGCTACAGGAAGACATCTCAAAAAGACCAAAAAAAAAAAAAAAAAAAGTGTTGGGCATGGTGGCATGAGCCTTTAATCCCAGCCCTCTGTGAGATCAAGGCAAGCCTGGTCCACATAGTGACTTCCAAGCAGCCTGGGACTAAGGAGACCCTGTCAAAAACCAAAACAACAAAAATTTAAAGAAAGTGATTATAAAGGGATATTAAAAAATATTTATTATTTTTTAAATTTTATTATTTTTATTTTATGTGTATGCATGTATTGCCTGCATGCATGTAGGTAAGTGCACCCTGTGTCTACAATACCCAAGGACAGAAGAAGCTGTTTCAGAACTGGAGTTTCAGAGAGTTGTTAGCTGCCATGTGGGTGCTGGGATTCGAACTGTAAGAACAGCCAGTGTTAACCACTGAGCCATCTCTCCAGCCCCAACAGAAGTTATTTTTAAAAAGATATCAGAAAGGGCAGTAACAGGACTGGGGATATGATTCAGCAGGTAAAGCCCAAGCCTGGCAACCTGAGTACCATCACAGTGAAAGGTCAGAACCGACACCACAAATTTGTCCTCTGACCTCCACATGCATGTGGTGCCACACACGCATGCCCACACATCTGCCCCCCAAACAGAGTAAATAAATGTAGTAAAAAATTGGGGTGGGAGGCTGGAGAGGTAGTTCAGGGATTAACAGAGCACATGCTGTTCTTCCAGAGGACCTGGGTTCGATTCCTAGCGCCCACATGGTCTTTGGCCATCAAAACATTTGTATAAACAAAAATACATAAATCATTAAAAGAATTTTTTTGAGCTGGGCGTGATGGCACAAGCCTTTAATTCCAGCACTCAGGAGGCAGAGGTAGGCAGATCTCTGTGAGTTCTAGGACAGCTGGGACTACAGGGAGACCCTGCCTCCAAAAGACCAAAACAAATTAAGAAATCTACAGGAGGCTGGGCGTGGTGGCGCACGCCTTTAATCCCAGCACTTTGAAGGCAAAGGCAGGTGGATCTTTGTGAGTTCGAGGCCTGCCTGGTCTACATAGTGAGTTCTGGGACAGCTGGGGCTACAAAGAGACCCTGTCTCAAAAAGCCAAAAAAAAAAACAAAAAGAAATTTACAGGTGATACAAGCCCGTAATCTCAGCTACTCAGGATACTGGAGCTAGAGGATTGCAAGTTCAAGGCCAGCCTGGGTAACTTGATGAAAGTGTATCTTAAAAAGCAAAAAGAGGGCTAGGCACACAGCTTGGTGTTAAGAGCTCTTGCTCTGCATGAACAAGGTTCAAGTCCCAGGAGTGAAAAAAAAAAAAAAAAAAGACAAAAGGTTAGAAGGGCCTGGTGGTACAAGTCTGTAATATAAACCCATATATTTAGGAAGCTGAAAGAAGATCATAAGTTTAAGACATGCCTGGACTATAGATCAAGTTTAAGGCCAGTCTGGGAAACTTACTAAGATCCTGTGTTAAAAACAAAAAGGGAGCTGGTAGACTGGGAATGTAGCTTTTCTAGTATCCACTGAGATCCTAGGTTCAATTCCCACAGAACAAAACAAAGAAACAAACAAAAAAGCACTACACTTGAGGTCAGTGTATACCTTAGTGATAGAGCATAGGTTTGAGAGAGGAGTTAGGTTCAGTCTTTAGCACCAAAAGCAAAAAAAGAAATAAAGCAATCTGTGAACAAGTTACATTAAGTTATCAATATTTAGTAAAACTCTATTATTTTTTTTTTTTTTTTTTGGTTTTTTTGAGACAAGGTCTCCCTGTAGCCCCAGCTGTCCGGGAGCTATGTAGCCCAGCCTGTCCTTGAATTCACAGAGATCCGCCTGCCTCTGCCTCCTGAGTGCTGGGATTAAAGGCATGCACCACCACGCCCAGCTAAAACTGTATTATTTTTTTTTAAATATTTATTACTGTGTACATGTGTGTTCGCATGTGTGCATAATATGTGAGATAGATAGATATATAGATGATAGATAGATAGATAGATAGATAGATAGATAGATAGATAGATAGAAATATATATGAAAGATTTAGCCCAGGCTGGCCTCAAACTCATGATCCTCCTGCCTTCACTACTTCAGCATATACAACTGACATGCACCACCACAAAAAAAAAAAAAAATCTATTTAGGGCCAGGATGATGGCTCAGGAGGTTAAAGCACTTGCCACAAAAACCTGATGACCTGACTTCCATCCCTGGAACCCAGAACCCATGAGGGAAGGAGAGAACCAACTTCCAAAAGTTGTCCCTCTTACTGAGTGTGGTGGTGCACACCTTTAATCTCAGCACTAGGGAGGCAGAAGCAGGCAGATCTCTGCGAGACTGTGGCCACACTGGTCTACATATCAAGTTCCAGGCCAGCTGGGGCTATAGGGAAAAAGACCAAAAACAAACAACAACAACAACAAAAAAAAAACAAAGTAACAAGTTGTCTTCTTTGTGCATCATCGTACCCATGCCCCTGCACTCAAACACAATGATAAACTTAAAACAATTATTTACATGATAATAACTGCTGTTTTTGTCCTTAAACTCATTAACTGAACGTAACTGATGACTTGCTACAGAAGACTTAGAGATAGGTTTCTGTCCTAGGGTTAAGCCTTAAGAACAAAAAGAGAAAACAAATAACTTTTTGGTTACAGTAATGCAATTTACTTGTCTAGCATACTGTGGTATGAACAGTTTGGGGTTTCATGACACAAATGAGCTGTTCCTTCAAAGGAATAAAATGAATATATCTAGGTTTCTATTAAACACTCACATTTTCTTTATTTGCTGATATGCTGTATGTTGCATCTTTCCTTCTGTGGCCATGGTCCAAAGCATTTGGAGTACTACAAAGAAGCTGTACCTAAAAGACATTGTTTGTTGAAAGCATCCAGTATCCTTAAGCCACATGAGAGAGTTAGAAACCCTCTGCCTCTCACCTGAGAAACAAGTCCCAAGATAAAAAGGAGAGTCTACTTACTGGGATACCTTTCATAAGGTCCTGGGGATGATTCCTGCAGATTCAAACAGACCACTAGTCAGGTAATCCCAATGCAGCTTGGTTCTGCTTCAGTGGTAGGGGGTAGCGCAGTTTTTCCTTTCTTCTATCCCAGAAGCCCTAGTTAGGTGATTTGTCTCTTCTAATAACAATATGTAGGATGTTTTCTGTGGTAAATCTCAAGAGACACCCTGGGGAAGAGGCCCTCATTTCACCTGCATAACTAGATATATAAATATGTACCAAAAATGAGTTTGTTTTGCATCTTTTTTTCCTTTTTGGTACTAGGGTAGAACCCAGGGCCTTGCACATACTAGGCAAACAGTCCACCACTGAGCTACACCCCAACTCTTGTCTTACCTCTTATGTAGATACAGTTTATAATTTAGTAATGTTCTAGCATTGACTATGGGAGGCTATTTTTTAAATGAATTTCTATCCTCCCTACCAAAATTTCACCTAGTCTATACAGGGCGGCACATTTAAAGTAGTTTAAAGCTGGATATAGTGGTTCACAACTATAATCCCTGCACCAGAAGACAAAGGTAGGAGGATCCTTATGAGTCTGAGGCCAGCCTGGGCTAGAATGAGACTCTACCTAATAAAATAGGAAAATAAAAGAGGAGGAAAATAATAATAAATAAAAGGAAAATCAATTCACAGAGAATATGAATAGAAAAACAAATGAAATTTTCACATGCATTAATAAAGACTGGCATAGAAAGTGTTCTTTAGCTTTCTTTACAGTAAAGTGGCACTTAACACAAGTTTTAAATGGGTTGCACTGAGGTTACACATGTGCATTATCGTTTGTTTTGTTTTGTTTTGTTTTGTTTTTGGTCTTTTTGAGACAGGGTCCCCCTGCAGCCCCAGCTGGCCTGGAACTCACTATGGAGACCAGGCTGGCCTTGAACTCACAGACATCCGCCTGCCTCTGCCTCCCAAGTGCTGGGACTACAGGTGTGCACCACCACGCCCGGCTTTTTTGGTCTTTTTAAAGACAGGGTCTCCCTGCAGCCCTAGCTGGCCTGGAACTCACTATGGAGACCAGGCTGGCCTTGAACTCACAGACATCCGCCTGCCTCTGCCTCCCAAGTGCAGGGATTAAAGGTGTGCGCCACCATGCCCAGCAGTCAGTTTTTATTCTATGCACATACCCTGACTAAATATTTCAGGATGTCCAGGACATAATCCATAAAGTTTAAACAACAAACATAAAATGCTTGGTATGTGCTAGATATACAATTTCTTTTTTCTTTTTTTGGGGGGGGGGTGTGTGTTTAGACAGCATCTCACATAGACCAAGCTGACCTAAGACTTGTTATATAGCTAAGGCTGGACTGGAACTTGTGAACTGCTTCTGCCACCCAAGTGCTTAGATTATAGATGTAGATCATAATGCCTGCCTCTGGTTGGGGTTCATTATATGTGTTTGTTATTTTGTTCTTGTTGTTTTTTTTAGATAGGGTCTCACTCTAGCCTATGCTCACATTTTTAATTAATCTTTGAAATAGCCATTCTTTAAAAGTGTTATTGTTATCTTCCTATTATGAATTTAAAAAAGTGAGATGTAATAAACTTACCAGTCATAGCTGGTGAAGTACTAAGCCATCAGAATCCAGACATTCTCTTTCCAGACCCTGTACCCTAGTCACCAAGATATAGCCCTCTTCACATGCAAACAGAAGTCCTAGCATAAGTGTGGTATAGCATTTTCCTTTTTTCTGTGTGTCTTTTTGAGACAGGGTCTCCCTGTAGCCCCAGCTGACCTGGAACTCACTATGTAGACCAGGCTGGCCTTGAACTCACAAAAATCTGCCTGCCCCTGCCTCCTGAGTACTAGGATTAATGGCATGCACCACCACACCTGGCCCTTAATTTTCTTTAAAAAGATAATTTTGTGTATAATGATTAAAAAGAATAGCCTTGCCAGGAGACCCTGCCTCAAAAAGATTTAAAAAATTCTCTCCCTCTGTCTGTCTCTCTCATCTCTCTGTCACTGACTCTCTGTCTCTCTCTCACTCTCTCTCTCCAGGGCTCTTCCTATCTTGCAAGGGCTAGTCAGTCTGGATATGTTGTTCAGTTCTGTTTGTGTTTTGTAGAAAAGCGAATGATCAATAAACAGCATGTTTTATAATGAAAAAAAAAAAGATTAAAAAAAAAAAGAATAGCCTTCATTTCACAGTAGTATTTAGAACTGGAAAATTGTTAAACCATCAAGTCAGAATCTAGGGCTCCAAGCCCATTAATATCCAAAGTAAAATATTTTATATTCTGCAGAGTTCATATAGAATAAAATCCCTGTGATCAGTACTAAAAGGCTTTGCATGCAGATCACTTAACAATAGAACTTACTTCCCAACTAACTGTACTTCATGAGGTCCTGAAGAATCCAAGGGTCCTGAAATTAGAAATAAAGAATTATGGGTCTGGGAATGTAGGTCAGTTTACAGAGTGTTTGCCTAGCAAGCAGGAAGCCCTAGGTTCAATTGTCAGCACTGTATAAAACCAGGCATAGTGGAACTCATCTTTTATCCCATCATCTGTTATCCCATCAGGAAGCAGGAACAGGAGGATCAGAAGTTCAAAGTCATCCTCAGCTACAAAATGAGCCAGCCTGGGATACATGAGACCCTGTTTCAACAAACAGCCAGGTGAGGTGGCTTATGCCTTTAATACTAGCACTTAGGAGGCAGAGGCAGACAGAGGCAGGCAGATCTCTGTGAGATTGAGGCTAACCTAGTCTACATAGCAAGTTCCAAGCCAGCTGGGGCTTACAGGCAGACTCTGTCTAAAAATAACAAAAACAAAGAAACAAGGCTGGTAAGGTTTAGTAGGTAAATGCATTTGCTGACAAGCCTCACCACCTGAGCTTAGATTCACATGGTAGAAAGAAAGAAGCAACTCCCACAGGTTGTCCTCTGACCACCACATACATGCTGCAGCACTTAACCCATCCCCAGTCATACATACATAAAATAAATAAATGTAATAATAAATTACATACAACAGGGCTGGAGAGAACACTGGTTGTTCTTGCAGAAGACCTGGGTTCAAATCCCAGCACCCACATGGCAGCTAACAACTGTCCATAACTCCAGTCCAAGGAGATCCAACAGCCTCTTTTGACCAATGTTGGCATTGCACGACACAGGTGCACTTACCTACAAGCAGGCAATACACGCATACACATAAAATAAATAAATGTTTTTAAAAGTTCTAAAAAAAAATTAATAAATTACATACAACAAAAAGTAAAAGATAGCTGGGCACGGTGGCTCATGCCTTTAATCCCAGCACTTGGGAGGCAGAGGCAGAAGGATCTCTGTGAGTTTGAGTCCCGTCTGGTCTACATAGTGAGTTCCCCACCAGCTGGGGCTACAGGGAGACCCTGTCTTAAAAAGAAATAAGGGCTGGAGAGATGGCTCAGCGGTTAAGAACACTGACTGTTCGTGCAGAAGACCAGGGTTCGAATCCCAGCAGCTACATGGCAGCTAACAACTGTCCGTAACTCCAGTCCCAGGGGATCTGACAGCCTCTTCTGACCTCCGAGGGC